AATGGACATTCATCTGTATCCCCTTTTTTTGTTTAGTTCCGTTTTTTGAATATTATAGGTGTGTTAACTCAGCAAAATATTCTAGAAGAGTCCAGTAGTCCGTAATAGTATTGGGTCTTCCACTTTCTGACTAGTCTTTGAATGTTATTAAGACTGTAGGAAAGATCCTTGGGGAATCTGTGTCTAGCTTTATTCTGGCTTTTATGCAAACCAAGACTGGCTCTTGGGCTACCCAGATGCCGATGCGAGGGTGCTTTCTCATCATCATGTGGATGTTTGTTGTGCACCTGGAATTTGCCAATGTGGATTCCATTTTCCTGAAAAATTAAAAGGCAGGTAACAGTGCATCTTAAAGCTCCCATTGCTGGGATACTTGGAAAGGAGTACAGTAGTCGGAGGCCTGGGCGTGGACTTGTACTCATAGCTGTTGAGAACTGGAGGATACAATATCCTCATTCTCTCTGTTTCTCCTTGAAAGCAAGGTAGTTGGGGATGCAAGATGTTACGGGGGAGGTTGCAGGAGTTTCCCTAGTGGGAAGAATTTGAAATGGCTTACAGGTAAGACCCATTTGTGACCTTGAGCAAGTCATTACCATTTGGTTTTCTCATGGGCTGTATTAAAATCAGGAACTTCGAGTGAACTGATGAACATATATATTTCTAAGGAATCCTTTGTATACAGCATCACATATAAAATAAGACTGAGGTTATCTACTATAGAGCTTGTGATTTGTTATTACAGCATTGGCCTCTACCATTCTAAGTGAGTTGAATCACCAAATCACCAAAATGCAGCCAGCTAGATTTTTCTTGTCTATTCTTCCTGATCTTTTGCTCTGCTTATTCCAGCATGGAAATTTAAGTCATCTGGAAAATTTCCAGTCAGCAAGGAGTTTCCCTACTGAGCTGGTCTGTAAGACTAGATGCAGCTGCCCATCTGTCAAGTCTCCATCACTTTCCACCCAAGAGATCCAAAATAAAAATGACTAAGCTTCTTTTGACTCAGATCTAGTCTTTAAATTAGAAGCACATGCATTAGACTCTAAAAGAGAAAATGCTGTGTCTGTGGACATAGGTCTGTGCTAGTGGGTAATGCCATTAAAATCTGTTGAAATAGAAATATCATAGAACATGCACACCAGATAATTATTTGAGTTTTGGAGGTGAACATTATTATCGTGATGTTTCTTTATATAAGACCAGTAGTTGTCCTGCCGGGTTCTATTAAATAAGAAAAATAATATTGACTGCTCACTATGGTAAGTGTAATAGTTCATTTGATTTAAAAATCAAACGGTGCTATCTTAGAAAGAACAACTGGCAGTTGCTTAGTATGCCTTAAAAATTTCTTGGGATGCACTAAGTTTCTGTGACAATGTTGAAATTCTGTTATTTGGGCAGGATAATCTTCAAATTACTATTGCCCTTTGTTCCTTAGCATGCAGACATAGGTATATGTCAGCCATTTCTGTGTCCTATTCCAAAATACCCTAACTAAAGTCATTGTTTAGCTGTGGAATGATATGAACAAATAAAATCAAAATGTATGTATCTATATAGCGAAATCTCTATGAGAGAATAGGTTCTTCATAAAAACATGAGCCTTTTCTGCGTTAGTTGCTAGAAAATCCAAATAAATTTGTGTTCTTTCATTCTAAATCTATTTATTCTAATCTGAAATTAGTACACACTTATTTTTACTTGTTGATGTAAATAGGTTTTCTTTAGTTGTTCTTATTCTTGGGATTTGCTTCTGAAATTTATGCTGATTTTCTGTGGGAGCTTGTAAGTTCTGTTTTCTTACCACTGGCATTTTGTTTCTTAACTTAGAGAAGAGAAAAAGAGGTTTCCCTCCAATTCCAGTCCCAGAATATCAAGTGTGTATCAATTTCCTAAAGAGAAAAATTAATTAGGAAATAAAGAAGCAGAGGGAAAATAGTTAAAATTAACAGATAGTATAAAATTTGTCATTTGCTGTTTTATGTTCAGTTTTACAAGAGTAATAAGGTAGAGTTGCTGTTATAATATTAACTCTAAGAAAAAGCTGGGACAATTTATATCACCCACTTTCAGCTGGTGACTGAGACATCGTCTGAAGCTTGCTCATTGATTAGCCTGCCTCTGCAGGCTAAGAGCCATCATTGTGTCTATTTACCTGGGCCCAGCTAAATATAAATAAAATTATAATGAATACACATGAATTTATAATGAAGGCCCATAAAGATGGTGGGCAGAAAATGAGTCCTGGGCGAAAGCAGCTCGTTTCCAAAGCGAGCAGTGAAGATTCAAAAGTCTTATTTCTGTTGACCTCAACTGCTTCCTTTTTAAACTGGGGGACTAATGTCAATATTTTCAGATTTAGAAACACACAGCACAGTGCATATCAATCAGGGAAGCAGCACACCCCTAAATGGAGGGCAGGGAAGAGACCCCTGGTTTCCATCTCTCTGAACCCCCTCCCTTAACTTAATTCTGACAGAAATACTGAAAGATACCCTATCCTATTGAGATATTGAGGCATCTAAGGATATAAACTTAGACTTCCATTATATCTTTTTAAAAGAAGATTTGTAGAAAAAAACAGTTAGGAATTATATATAGAAGAAAAGAGAAACAATTCTGTATGCACTGAACATATGTTTATGGCATAGTGATAGAATTGTGAGCATTCAGTGTTGCTATATGTTTTTCAATTTGTTTTGGTTTTACCTTATTCAGAGCAAGAAATCCTCTTAAATGTACACATACACATAGAGAACAGGAAGTGTTTTGCAACACAGCACTTCTTTTTGTCCTTATATGATTACCATACTCTGTTTCTTACCTTAGTTTAGTAATTCCATTTACTTTTAAAATTTCTGGTTACAGCCCTTTGAACTGATTTCATGAGCCACTAATGGATCATTGAACTCCTGCCCTTGTCTTACACCTGGAAAAACAGTTTCCCGAGGTTTCAGATCCGTGCACGTGGCTGGAGGCGATGGCAGAGGCCGTTGTCCAGCCTTGCGTCTTCTCATACCCGTGCTTCTTCCCAGGAGCTTGTCTGGTCAGCAGGATGACAGAGCATTATTGAGCTGCTGGTCAGTCATTTCTTCCTTCCGCTGATAGAAAGAAAACTTTAGGGTAAAAAGCAAAGTAAAACAAAACAAAAAATCCTGACCACAGCGTTAGTCACTACCAGGAGGAAAAGGCATCCTTCTATGGCAGGAGCTCATTCTCCAGGTACAAGACTTTATGACTTCACTGACCAAGGACTCTGCATTTGGCTCCCTAAATGGCCCACAGCTTGGAAGACCTGAGGCAGGTCACCCATTGTGTTTTCTTGTGACTTTTATTTAAATGTTTCTTCCCTAAATTTCTAACAGCCAAAAACCTGAATTCCAATTTTACAGCTCAGGAAATATATCAATTTTTATTTAATTAAAATTATTTATTTATTCATCTATTTATTTATTTTTGTATTTAGGATGGGGTCTACAGGGCCTACGTGTCTCACTGCGTAGATCAGAGTCATAGTGATTCGCCTGTTTACAGCTTCCCAAGTGCTGGGATTGCACCACCATGCCCAGTTTCATTTGCTGTGTTTCAGTGCAACCCTGGGCCAGGGTGGGCACAGCAGGCCTGGGGATAGAACTCCCGGCCCCTGCGTCTGCCTAAGCAGGCGCTTTAATACGCTGAGCTATTTGGCCGGCCCTAAGATATCAATTTTTAACTAAAATCATTTATTTATACCTGACATCAGAATTCAAGACCAAAATAGAAAACCCCACTGGGTGAGACTCACTGTTGCAGGCATCAAATACATAAAGAAGAAGCAAAAGCTCCCCTAAAATTCCACCATCCAGAGATGATCATACTGTTCATATCTTTGTGTGGGACCCTTTTACTCTTTCAATGTGGGGTCAAATTCATAAACAATTTGGGTGCTGTTTTTATCACTTTACGATTCAAACTTTCCTAAACAGTATTAATAACACTTAAATATCACTGGATTCCATGGTGTAGGTTTTCACTTACCTAACTGCTCATAATAGACACGGACGTGATTTATCGTCCTTACGTTATTCCATGTACATTCTTGCATGGATGTACTTTTGTATCTGACAGTAACTTTTGTATCTGACAAGGTCAGTCAGATCCCCTCAGGATTTACCCTGAAACCCTGTACAGCAGTTTTGGCCCTAGCCATTCAAGGTCAGCGAGGAATTAGGACATAGGAGAACCTGTACTGTAACATCCTGTAACTCGGTGGTGTCCCACATTTTCTGATCAAGGAGATTATGGGGTCATAGAGCAACGGGATTGTTGATGTGGAGTGTGCCTAAGGAGAGTCACCTGGAGAGAAAACATTCTCTCAGGCTTTCACAGAGAGCGAATTGGTCAAGCAATGGCTGTGACTCATCCACATGGCTGACACTGACAAAGCATCTGTGTTCTCAGCTTTTAATATACCTTATTATGAGCAGCAGAACTGGGCAAAGAAGAGACTTTGAGAGCTGCACACACAGTCCAATCCTACACCTCCTTAAAAATAGCCTCCACTCTTAAATGAACATGTAGTCAGTGATAATGGAATAATTTCCACTTAAAAAGAATCTTGAATGCAGATAATTTATATTTAAGAAGGTGTGATGCTGTTTAAATAACTTCCATATCATTTTTAGTTTTACTGGTTCAGACTCTAGTTTCATCTGGCTCGTTATAAATAAAATTATATGAATTTATTATTACATTTAAGCAGTAGAAAAGCTTGATGTTAGGTTTTCTTGTGTACCCAGGGTCTCACTCAAGTAAAAATATTCTTTTATATTGTATATATATTTTACAAATAACTTCTTAGACCCCTCTCTATATATTTTATATATTTTATTAAATTGGGACTTTTGCATCCTTGGAATTGTTAATTTGCAGGAGCAACAATTTATTTTCTATATCAACTATTTAGTCATCATACCAAGAATGAGCAGAGGTTCCTGATTAAATGTTTGTTTTTTCCTCAAAACAGATCATTCTTCATTCCATGCACAAATACCAGCCACGAGTGCACGTCATCCGTAAGGACTGTGGAGATGACCTGTCTCCCATCAAGCCTGTCCCATCTGGGGAGGGAGTGAAAGCCTTCTCCTTCCCAGAAACTGTCTTCACAACTGTTACAGCATATCAGAATCAGCAGGTGTCGTTCTCAACTATTTTCCTTTGCAGACTTTCTAGGGTTAAATAGAAAACTAGCTATGCTTATTGCTGCATCAACACGTCATGAATTACAAAATGTTTGTCACGTATGACATTCAAGGAGTGTAGGGGTGTTTGTGAATATGTAAAAGAAAATGGTTTTTGAAGCACAGTTCTCCACATAAGGGTACTCTAATAGTGACCTCTTCAGACCAAAGGAGACAGGTGTATAAAATATGAAAGGGAAATTGTACTTTAAGGCTCGAGATTGATTGTAAAATTAGCCCATGGAACTATTTCAGAATCGTTCTTGTACAATCAATTTTATGTTCCAAAGAGCATTTTCTGTTTCAAACCATGCTTTAGGTGTGGTACAGAATGGAGTGGACTTTCTAGCCTGAAATACTAGTAGTTGTGCAGTAATTATTTCACAGAGTTGGGAATAATTTGAGTAGTGAATTTTTCTATATGAATAAACATATATTTCTCTAAGTCCTTGCGTGCATGAGTTGGATAAGTATAGAACACAATGCAGTTTTAGCCAATTTTCTTAAGATTGTAGACAGTGTATAGTGAAGGCTGACATGGTACGTGTTACACTTTTGCTTAGGTTTTAGTCATGAGCCAAATTGTATTGGGCCTCCATTGCTGATAGCCTTTACATATATCTGTTAAAAAGTTAAGACTTTTTACCTTCTTTGTTGTGCTTTGTGCTCTGTTAAAGCTTCTCAGGAGCCTCTGATGGGCTTTTCTTTTGGACACAGAAGCCCAGTGCTCCCATTTGTGTGGAGACATCAGTCCCACAGTGGAAGCTGGCCTGTGTCCTACAGTCGTGCTGCCCTCAGTCCTATAAGCTCATGAGGAGGACCGTGGACTATAACTTTTAGACAGTCTAGAGGATAATTAAGATGATATTCTTGAAAGGTATGGGAGGTAGAAAATGAAATTGGCCTTAGAGGAAATTATTGTCTGAGTTGAAAATAGCAGGGCTTTTAGAATGATTTTAACAACCCTAATTCCTCGTCTCTACTTTTCACATACATATATTAGCTGTGCTCACTAATACTTCCTTCTGCCCTATGTGATGTATTAAGTATAGTGCTGCGGGCTTCTGGCATATGTTGAGGCTAATACCATTTAGCGAATATTGTTGAGTCAGTTCAGAGAGTAGAAAAATTAGGAGGGACATTGATAATGATGAAATGAAATAACATTTACTTTTTAATTTTCCAACAGTCATGATAAAGAATTTGTTAAAGAAAGCTGATAAGCAGCCTCACCTCATTCACAATGATTTGGGGCTACAGCCTAGGTCTCTAACACATCTCTACTACTGTTGTCATAGGAAAGTTACTTTTAAAGCCTTCTGTTAAAGGAAACACATAAAATTGGAGTAACATGTACACATACACTTTGATAATTAAATGAGTAGCATGCTTAAAACTTAGTATAGCATACCTAGTCTGCATTTAATAAAGGTGGCAGTGTTAGTAATAAAAATTATGGTGATAGTAATTGTGATATATTTCCATTTACAAAGACACCATTGTGTAAATCTATACTCTTAGAAATAATATTTTAAGTGTTTGAATTATTTAGTATTACCTAAACACTACTGAAAGGAACAGAGAACTGAATTATGATCTGTAAAGGCAGAATTTTTCTTCAATGGTAAAATGGCAGACATGGTGAAGTAATTATCAAATCCTTTCATTATATGTTTTATAATGTAGTTTTGTCCACATACCAAGATGATATCACATGGAACACATGTGTGCACAGGCAGTAGAGGGAAACTGCAGATTTTCTTTGCCATAATGTTAACCAACAGATTTCATCCTTAGTCCAGATGGTCTGATTAGAAATATATTTGTTAATGTTGTAATGTCATTAAGCCAAGAAATTTAAAAAGCGAAGCGTGGTGTACCTCTAAGAAAGCAGACTGTAAATTCCTCTGGAAAATAGTGCTCTGGCAAGAAACAGATGAGAAGCTGTTTGTTAGTGTCAAGTTCAGGATGATTTTTAAATGCAGATGATTAAAACATTTGTAAATCCTATCCTGCACCCAAATATTGAGGTCTTAGTGAGCAAGATGATAGTGGTGAGTCAGCAAACTGGAACTCTAGTTAAAATTGCAAAGTCATTATATATATTAAAGGTATATATTATATATTATGTTATATATTATAATTATATCTATCTATCCCCATTAGAACCTCCAAGAGGTGGTTTTATCTGGTTACATATTACAGACTCACTGTAGTACTGTGACAAAGTTAGGCCTCCACAGATAGAAGGTGAAAGAATAAAACTTTCAGGTGAGAGTCATGAAGATTAAAGGAGAGTCAGAAAAATACAAAAGCAGAAAATTAAATGAGTTGAGATGTTACCTGATTTTGAAGAAGAGAAGACTGCATAGGAGTTTCAAATTTAAGTGTAGAGATAGCTATTAAGTGGAAGTTGTTGGATATTACTTGCTTTTCATCTTCTCTATTTTCAAGAGAAGCAGGATGAAAGCACATTACCAAAGTTGCAGGGAACAACTTCATTTTCAAGGGTATTGTCTACTGTAGGATGGATATTGGCAGATCGTTTAGATTTTCCTCCCCGAGGAGTGTTAAAAATGAATACAACCCTTATGCAGTATGGAGAGCCCAGCACAGTGGCACATACCGGTCATCTCAGTTCTCAGGCAGACTGAGAGATTTAGAAGTTTGAGTCTGGCAATCCTGTCATGAGAGTGGGAGGAAAAGTTCGGAGCGGGAGGGAGAGAGACAGAGACAGGAACAGAGACAGCCACAGAGCAACTGAGAAGAGAGACAGGGAGACTGAATAGCAGAATCTGGAGATGTAGCTCAGTGGTAAACACCCTTGGCTGGGTTCTCTTGTACACTGCAAAATAAAAAAGGTAGGTGTGTATCTTTTTATAGCAAGTGAATATTCTGGATGGTTTCTGAAGTTTTCCTTTAGTAGCTAGAATATTAAAATATGTGGAAAAGGGAAAGAAAACTCCTACAGAGTCTTCTGTCAGTTAATTTTTAAAGTACTTGTAGCTCTGTGGTAATTTCTGTCCTTTAACATAGCATTTAATCTTTATATAAGCTGTGCTTTTTTGTCTATTCTGCAGATTACTCGCCTTAAGATAGACAGAAATCCATTTGCCAAAGGCTTTAGAGACTCTGGAAGAAACAGGTAGGTCCTAATGAAAAACCTGGTTGAGATACACGTATTTGATATTTTATTGTGAATTTCGCTTACCTGCTAAAGAGTTAAATTCATGGACACTATATGGAACTCACTGCTGATGAGAGTTTAAGTTGGCTAATACATGTGCTCCTTGGAGATAAGTTGTTTTTGGAGAGTAACAGTGTGGCCCTAAGGCGAACTCTCGCATGTGCTGCCTGGGTGAAGATGGATGCTCTGTGTTTGCTGCATGCTGTGTCTGAAGCGGTCTTGAAGGACCCTGCCCCAACGTGTCCAGGGGCCTCAGCATTTCAAGCAAATATCCTCGCTGCCTCTGCTATTGGTTTAGAATTTCGAAAGTGATGACACAACTGTCCATTGATTCTTTCTGGAGAGGCCGATGGGGTCTCTTGTTAACTCCAATTTCCAACTGGAATATGAAACTACTTCCTGTTGCCAAAAGGGCTGATGTTCTTTAGTTTCCAAATTTGTCTTGGCTCTGACAACAGTCATACACTTGTTTATTTTTTCTGTGTTGTGTTTTACAGTGTTTGTACTAAGTGGGAGAGCTACAGTAATGAATTCTACTCTATTACGTTTATCAAAAAGCAGATCTTCTAGAATGTATGCCAAGAGTTTTTAAATTGATTGATATAATTCTATTCTACTGCAGTTCAGTGGAACATTTTCTAAAATAACTGTTCATAGCAGAATGTAATAATAGACTAATGTTCTCCAAATGCCTTTTCTGGGTAAGCCTTTTGGCTTCAGTGTTTTTAAAAGCATCTTGTTTTTAAAAAAGAAGTATCTGAAATGTTTTATTACTTTATTTCCCAAATTATTCTAATACTCTTTGAAAACTTAGTATTGATTGAAACTGTCTGTAATAAATCAAAATCTCCAATTATTTTAGAGGTACTTTCATTTGAGATTTTGGAGAAAAAGCAACCAGATAATCATCTAGATTTTTAGTTCTTTCAGCCAAGAGGCAAGGTTGGTGACAGAAACCCTTTTTCAGAATACACTCAGTTGCTGGCAGAAACCTGATGGCATCTTCATATGTGAGAGATTATAAAACACCAATCAGTGTTTAAATGTGTAACAACCAAAATGTAATTAAAATACAAATAGAGTAACCTTCAGTGGAAGGCAGAGGGATCCGAAAGCCTAAACAACAGAAAAGACTTTACTCTGAAATTCTTCACTCTGTAGTAAGATTGGTGGATAGCACCACAAGTTGTCTCCTGCCCTGAAATTTTTTTTATGGACTTGGTTGTCTTTTTTTATGTTACATTAGCTACTGGCTAAATTGATTTGGAGATTTCTGAATTTTTCAGTTTTCAGATTTTTATATTATCTAAAAATTGAATGCAGTTTGAGCCACAGCTTTGGAACGTAAGATCATCACAGAAAACTTTTCCCCAGATTCTTTTTCTACCTTGACAAGTGCTATAAGGGAACTTCTTGTGGCTTGGATTTTATCAGAATAATATTTAACTATTCTCTTGAATTGGTTTCAGTTTATTTCTTTTGAAGCAGAAAACTGATTTGTCAAGACTCAGGAACTCCAGTAGGGCAAATTCAGGTTTTGGATTTACATCAGGAACTGTGGCCACAACACTGCTCCAGTAAAGTCCTTACAGGAGGTCTCACTGCTTCTAACTTGTCAGTTCATTTCTGAAGCAGTACATTCAAAAACATTCTGAAAATATACAGACAGATAGTAACAGCGAATGAATCTTCTACAAGTGCGATAGACGTGCATATGACAAGTTTTCAGGAAGGAGTCTTGATATGACAACATAATCAAAGCACATTTGATTGTTTAAATGTGGTCAGGAAAGAAATGAATAGCATTAGTGAAAAGAAGCTACCAAGGCTACTTGGTATGGTGGAGTGAAAGTGCTAGCTTTGATAGGAATTTTGTTTCTTCCTTTTGTCTGTCTCAGGAATATGTAGATGTACCATGTAATTGTGCTGTTATTATTTATATCCCTTCTCCCCTAAAGTATTAAATGTTCTAGTGAGCACATAGAAAACAATGACATTTTAACATTTTTTATCCAATTATTAGTAGTGTACTACAGATGGAGTGTAGTGTGTCTACATATGGCTGTTTTGCTAGTAAAATAGTTCTAACTTTTGGCTCACAAAATTTGTTCTCACATAGCGTAGGCAAACTTTTCACTGATAACTCTTCAAGGTGAAGCTATCTTTTCTTTAATGAAAGAAGCATTTTCAGGGCACAATGATTACATGTATTGTCCATGTGCAATAGTACATCCTAGTTCTTCTGTTTATTTCTGAATCCCCTCCTCTTTTCCTCCCTTATCTTCTTTCATCTCTTGTTCCTTGGTCCACTTGAAAATAGTTCTCCCTCATCTCAGTCCACTGTCTTCCATTTTTCTCTTGCTCAACACCTATAGACCAGTATACCTTAGTTAGAAAATTTGATCTTAGACATTTTGGCTGAAATATAAAAGACACAAATATGAAGAAAAGAAAATTGGTTTTAACATTTCTAATTTATGTGCTATTTTTCTTGGTGGGGGATGTAGTGGTTTGGGGAATATAGAGGAGCACAATAATTTTTTATGTATTAATGGAGGGAAAATGTTCTAAATGTTCCTTTATCAACTTAGTTCTTCTTTTTTTAAAGCAAAGTATTTTTATTTTTTCTTATGTGAAATAAATAAATTGAACAAGACAAGAAATAAACATGGACATATAATTGTCTAAACTTTATCAAACAATTTTCTTGAATTAAAAATTACCCTTTCCAGCTATTTATGGCTCCACAGTCTTTTATAGGAATCAGTAGCTTCAGCCCTTAAAAGCTCTCCTGTAAGACATTTGCTATGTGAGAGCGAATTTATGTGCTGAAAATAGTTTCATTCTTCAGTTGGGCCTTAGGTTTGACCCTATAAAATGTTTTACTCAGGAAGGTACAAAAATTTCTTCTCTTTAAATACTTCAGGAAAAACATAACCATTTTACTAAATAAACTTGGCCATTTGATAGCATAAATTAGGGCGGTGATAAAATGTGGAAGTTGTTCAAAGGCACCTTGTATAAATTATCGCCCTGGCTGCTCTCCTGCAGGAGGTACCTTTCATCTTTTCTTTAACTAGATGAGAAAAGTCTCCATTACTGGAGAAAATGAAGGCTTTTTAACAAAAGTCCAGATTCAGCTAATAAATATTTTATAACTGTTTCCTGCAAAATATCTGAAATCCTTTCTAGACCTTGCAGTGTGAAATAGCAGCCTCAGGAAAAATATCAGTAGTTCTCAATCAGATCCCTTGTAGATATGCTCCCCTCAAGCCTGTCTTTAAAGCTCAGGGTTATGGATTTGTGATGCTCAATAACTTCTCATGTATTTGGTTTATGGATTTGAAGCGTGGTAAAGTTTATATTGCTGAGGCAAATAATGCAGTGATGCACATTAATTTAGTTCATTTCTGAGTCCAGTGGATGCTTGTTTCTTGCCTTAGTAGGCTTCAAGACTGCTCCATAACTATTTTGGTATCTTTGTTATTTAAATCTACCATTATCAGAACCCATCTATGTGATGATAAAAAGCAGTTTTTAGAAATAAAATTGTATTGTAACATTCTTTTGCATTAAAAAAATTCTAGAAAGGTACAGATTTAGCCTATGTCTAAGTAAACATAGAGCAATTAGCTACACATCACCCAGCATTCATTGATCCAGTATTTTCTTCAACCCACTAATAGCATAGGGCTCTGAGACTGCCTAGACCTACCATCCTGCCCAGAAATCAATACTTTAGTAGTACAGAAAATGTGATCACATGATCTAGTCTTGGATTTGAGTTATAGTTTTACCACCAATTTTAATGTCTGATTTGGAAAGAAAAAAATCACTTAGAATAAAACAAATTTTGAATTTGAAGCTATCTTAGTTTCCCTAGTGTCATCATCACTTTGTAGGAAGCTGGAGTCCAGAAAGTTTGAGAGATTGGCTTAAGGCTGCACAGTTGTTTTAGCGCCTTATAGTCACAGTTCAGTTCTGTTCATCCCAATCTAGTATCCTTACCACTAAATAATCCTTTCTGTAGTACATTTGTTTTGTTGTAAGCCAGTTTCTGTTCTTCTCTTCAGGTAACCCCCATGAAACAGAACAATTCCCTTCTGTGTCCTCCTCTCTCTTTGGCAGCCCCATGGTAGTAGCTGTGTGGGGCTGGAAATGCCTACAGTTGGGAAGATGAGTCAGACCACTGTGTAAATTCATGAGAGGATATACCTGCATACATACTGCCCACTCTGCCATGTGCCACCGTTCTTCCACTGCTAAGAACGGCTAGATGTCCTCCTAAATGCGGACAGAAATCACTAAGTTAATGGAGGCTCCACCCTGCACACTCTAATGTTCAAATTCTGGGTGCAAAACCTTGGCACAAAAGGACAGTAATATGAGACAGTTTCATTTGTGCCAATCACTTCTGCTCTTTGGAGAACTTCATTATTATAGGCGATGTGATTTTGGGGGGATGGTTTCCCTCAGTTTTAGTTCATAGTTTGTGATTTGGAGACACAGGGGGTCTACAGGACATAGAAACTGAGTTCAAGCTATTAGAGTGTCTGGCAGGCACAAGAGGTGTCTGAGTTAGTGTTTGCTACTCCTAGGAAGCAGCCTTTTCCTACATTAGAGTGATGAGTTTAGTGAAAAGCACAGGCCTACCTTCACAAGTTGCTTAGGGCTGAGGTGATTGAGGGGTAAGTGGCGAAAGTCCCCAGCTATCTTGATAATTGAGAATTGTGTGAAGGTCCTGAATCCAAAAACCTAGCTGATTGAGTCATTTGACATAGAAGGGGAAGCCCCTCAATCATTTGTGGCAATAAGGGTCTTATGCACACATTTAGAGTAGTTGCTTTGGTTGTAAAATACGCATGTCATGTAAGTAATCAACTTGCCTCATCTGTTTAATCATATGTTTATTAAGATTGTATGTTGAGGCTTTAAATTAAACTTGATAGCCATGTGAGAGCTCTGTGCCTCTGTACTCCTGGTCACTGCCAGGAGGTAAGGGGAGAGGTCAGTGCTGCCCCCTCCTGGCCCTCTTGTTGCTAGAACGACAGCCTGGCCTGGTCGGCAGTGAATATTGGGCCTTTGAGAGGAAGTTGGTTTTCTTAGGATGGTTTCTCCTCTGAGATGACTGCTGTGGCAGTGAGCGGTGAGCAGAATCGCCTTCTAGGAAAGGCTTTACAGAGGCATGGTTTTGTGGCAAAAGTCCTATGACAGGAAAAGGCCTAATTCCAGACCACAGCAGAGCATTAGGCTCACCGCAGCCAGGATGGACTTTCTTCACCCGGACTCCTTAGCCCAATGGGACAGCTTTTCAGCCCTCAAGTCAGCTTCAGTTTCCAGGATGTTAACAAGCATCTTGTGTGAATTCCTTGCACTTCCCTGTCTGAACCATTTCTTCCTGCCAGTAGCAAGCTTCTAGGGTGCCAGAACTGAGGATTGCTGTCAACACTGGTGGTGTTTTCTGAGATGTTTATTCTGATGAAAGCTCTAACTGCTCCTAACCAGACTTCATTTGTCCACCCTCTCCCTGGTCCTTCCATTTAGAATGGGTTTGGAGGCGTTAGTGGAGTCCTATGCATTCTGGCGACCTTCACTAAGGACTCTTACCTTTGAAGATATCCCTGGGATTCCCAAGCAAGGTAACTCACAAATTCTCCTGGCTCAGTCAGTTCCTGCCTAAAAACTCAGGCATTAATATGCACAAAAATCATTATGCATCCCAGGAAAGGTAACCCCATGCCAGCCTCCTCCTAATACAGATTCTCTCTCTTTCCTTGATAGAATAAGAGTTGGTCGTGAAAAATGGTTGTTGTATTCATAGGTTTAATCTTAGACATTTTAGGTTTTAATATATTTCATGAACTTTCCCTCACCCTTACATCTCAAGAAGATTGGAGGTAAGTGGTGGCTCTGAGACCAGACACACTTCATAAGAAACAGAAGTTCTAGTCCACCTTTGCTTGCTGTTTTTCTTTCCTCAGTAGAATTGTCTGTGGCAATGCCCTCCTATAGGGTCTATGATGAGGTCTGGCATACTCTGGTCGGTCTCTCTCTCTCTCTCTCTCTCTCTCTCTCTCTCTCTCTCTCTCTCTCTCTCTCTCTCTCTCTCGTCCTACTGGGTAAGATTCTCTGTTTGCTCCTACTGCCGGGCTTTTTATCAGAATCCTACCAGCTTCTGCCAGCGAGAAGTTTGTGCTTAGATTACTACCATTGGGATGGGGCGATAGCTTGGTGGTCAAAGAGCCTGCCTTGCAAGTGCAAGGACCTGGGTTCAATCTCTGGTACAGCACACCATGCTGGCCTGGAACCCCAGGTGTGTCGTGCTGACTCCCAAAACTGGGCATGGTGGCACATGCCTATAATTCCAGCACTGGGGAGACTGACACAGGAGGATCATATGAGTCTGAGCTGCATAGTAAGATCCTGTGATTAGTAAACAAATAATTAAATGATTTAAAAGATTAGATTATCATTAGTTCTACTAGGCTGTTAGATTATTTTGATATGCTATATAAAACTCTGTAGCTAGAAAGAGGCCTGGCCCTTGGAATTCTCTTCTCCCTTTAAGTTCTGTTATATTTGCAAAGATCAGTCTGCTGGGAAATCCAGATAAGGGGCGTCATCCACCATCACTGTTATTTGTGAGATTCAAGGTTAACCACTGTCTCTAAGTTTCATAGGTCTGGTAGACCTCAGCTTTTATGTTCAAATGTGATTCACCAACCTCTTTTCTAACATGACATTTTTAAGGAGCTGGGCTATTACTGTACTGTATGGCCAAGACCTGCAGTACCACAGCAACTGATACACATGATTTCTATAAAAGGCCACAGACAAGTTTGAGGCAGAATGTTCCCTTGACCAGTTCAGCTTTTGAGTTACTTCTTTTACTTCTTGAGAAGACATTTGATCCAAAGTAAGTTTTACTGAACAAGAAATCAAAATATGGCTTAAAAAGGCCTTGATTTTACTCTTTGAACAAGATGCAAACTAAGATGAAATTCATACTTTATGAAGTTGTTCATAAAATGAATGTTTGGCAAAAAAAAATTTGAGAAAGCTAAGAAGAAACTGAAAATTCTCTGTGGTAATTTTCCATTATTTTCAACAATATAAAAAGACACAGTTCCCTATAAAGATATGCCTTAAAGCATGGAGATTTATGTTTAAATTATTTCGATCTGAATGCAGTGAAGGAAGCTGAGACCATCCCCTTTTCATCTTTGTAGTACTCTGCTGCCCCTGGTAACAAGCCATGTCTACCACATAGTTACAAAATTAGAAGGAAAAGATAGGTGGGTACTCATTCTTTACATTTCATCTCTTTTATAGGCAATGCCAGCTCTTCCACCTTACTCCAAGGTACTGGGAATGGTATTCCCGCCACCCACCCTCACCTGCTGTCTGGCTCCTCTTGTTCCTCTCCTGCCTTCCATCTGGGGCCCAACACCAGCCAGCTGTGTAGTCTGGCCCCAGCTGACTATTCTGCCTGTGCCCGTTCAGGCCTCACCCTCAACCGATATAGCACATCCTTGGCCGAGACCTACAACAGGCTCACCAACCAGACCAGTGAGACGTTCACCTCGCCGAGGACTCCCTCCTACGTGGGTGTGAGCAGCAGCACCTCCGTGAACATGTCTATGGGTAGCACCGATGGGGACACCTTCAGCTGCCCGCAGTCCAGCTTGTCCATGCAGATCTCCGGAATGTCCCCCCAGCTTCAGTACATCATGCCCTCGCCCTCTAGCAATGCCTTTGCTACTAACCAGACCCATCAGGGTTCCTATAACACTTTCAGGTTACACAGCCCCTGTGCCTTGTATGGATATAATTTCTCTACATCCCCAAAACTGGCTGCCAGTCCTGAGAAAATTGTTTCTTCCCAAGGAAGTTTCTTGGGGTCTTCACCAAGTGGGACCATGACTGATCGACAGATGTTACCCCCTGTGGAAGGAGTGCACCTGCTTAGCAGCGGGGGTCAGCAGAGTTTCTTTGACTCTAGGACCCTAGGAAGCTTAACTCTGTCATCATCTCAAGTGTCTGCACATATGGTCTGACGAAGCCTTTAAGTTAAACTGTATTTGAATCTGTCTAGTGTATTTGCAGTCTTTTTTTTTTTTTTAAACAGTGTGGAAGGAAATTATCTGTAGCTTGTAAAATGTATATGTGATAGCAAAGGAAGGCTCACTACGGTTTTTGACTTTCTCATGGTGAGATTGTAAACTATCTACGTGCATACTGCTACAGATCACATGAAGCCCCTCTCTTCGCCCCTTCCTGCACCCAGTCCCACAGAGTATTAGCACGCATGTAGTGTGTTTAATCAACTTCTTAGACTCTTTTGAAAGCAAAGTAGTAAACTTGAAACTTGACAATGATATGAACCAGATGAAGACTTATAACTTATCAGAAAAGTGGCCTAAACTCTTTGTAACTGAGCTTTTATAACCAGTCTAACTTTAACATAGAGCCTTGTGACTTCTGTAGTTCTTGAACACAGTGTGGGAACCTAAAACGCAAATGCCAACTGAAGTCTTAGTATTGGTTCTGAGGTACTTGGAATATAGATTGGACTTTGCATTCCTGTTTATTCTTATTTACTATAAATATGATTTCAAATCTGTAACATTCGTAACTCCTTATTTCCTAAGGAAGGTGGAAGGGAAATGTGATTTTTTTTTTTTTTTTAGTTTCCATCAGGCAGAAAATGTATATTTCCACTACTTTGGTTTTGGGGTCATTTTATTTAGTTCATTAAATAAGCCACAGAAGAATATCCTATAAACATTCTTAAATTCCATTTTCTAGCACAGGAGGAATATATGAGTAATGGGAAAAAGAAAAAAATTGCTGTCAAATTCTTTGATTCCTATGAAAAATGTTTATCTTGTTAAACACAGAGAAATAATGTTGCCCACTATTCCTTAGGTATTCATGTACTTTGGTTTTTCATTGCGATTTTTTTTTCTTGTACCTTAAAGCCTAACTCATGATCTATGAGTAAGGAAAGCCCTCTAAGCTACTTACTGTATTTATGGCTGGTAACTCCTACAAATTGAAACTTTCCCCCTCCTTAACCTTATCCCTCTGTCTGAGCTTGTCCAAAGCAGACAGGTCTTAGGCCTTTATGGTGTTAAAGCTGCAATGAATTTCTGAGGGTTATCTCCAGCAATCTGTCTTGTGGGGATTGTAGTGAAAGGCCAAAGTCCACTATTATAAAGGCCCTTTTGGAGTACTAACGAGGAAGATACTAATTATGATAAAGAAGCTATAAAACTTTGAACCTCAACAGCATTTTTAACCTCTGAAAATGAAAATAGCATTACTTTTTAAAAGTCCTTCAAATAATATACATATGGTTTATGAGTTCAAAACAAGTGACCAGTAGTACATTATAAGGTAAATCAGAATAGCTAAGCATGCCTAATGAAGTATATTGCCCTTCTGCTGAGAAAATAAGATGATACATTTTCCTGTCAACTGGTTACATTTAATATACTCGACAAGCAAAAGCTGTGTGATTTCCCTTCGCTGCTTAACAATTGTGTTCACCTGTTCCTAGTTTAGGGAAGAAAGGGTGCCGCTCATGACTTGCTTCTTTACTTTAAATGACCACAATTGTTAGATATTTAGGGGAAGATACTGTTTGAAAAGAATTTTCAGGCTCTGACTCTACTTAAACATACTGAAAGTTGTTCTTGTGGATTCTATAAGCAGTTCATCAAGTTAGCGTTGACCCCTGAGATTAGCATGAAGGAGCACGAAGTGTTTGCAATAGACAGAGCTGTGTGAGATTTTATGTATGATGTTAATAGCTTTGACAACAATTTGGGCAAAACTTTGAGTGTGTCTTTTTATAGTCTTAGTTCTTGGTATGCTTAAAGGAGAATCTTTTTCCATCTTGAGAAGTCAAAAAAAGCAATGCTTTATTTTCATATATATTAGTAATCAGAGCAATTTCTTCTTACAGATGATAATTTGAAATGATGCTACAATATGAGTAGAATTTTTATTAATCTTTTTTGGTAAAATTTAGCAATATTGTACAAATGCCATTTCTTTTAGATTTTCCTGTAAATATTAATCACAGTGTCACTTCAAAGACTAACATTCTATTGTTATATTAAATTACATACATTGATAATTATAATTATATATCTGTATTTTATTAAAAAAGTGCCTAAGAAATTATATTAAAGTGTGTTATTAAACCTTTTTATCATTTTGGTGGATAATCATTTTAAGTGTCTATAAATACTGTCCCCCAAAAAAGCACACATGTGCAGACTCCAAAAGCAAATTTGATAGCTCTCAATTACAAAGCAGGGAGAAATGGGCCTGCTGTTCATTTTTCATGTGTTAAATATAATTCTTGGTGTGTTGACCATGTCATTGAAGGTGAAAGCCCTGACAGATGTTGAACACATGAAAATTCTGACGCGAGAGGAGGAGGGCAGGGTGGTATGTTTTGTTTCAGATCCAGGAGACAAAGGCAGAGATACAAGAATGAACTCCTTGCACCGCTGACTGGTGATGACAGATGACTTCTGGCCCCTTGACTGGAAAACATTCCAAGGGACATCCTGATGGGGTGAGGTTGCTGCTATCAAGGGTAGTCACATTCTGAAAATTAACACTTGCTTCCATAGAAGCCCCCTCACAGAGGTCAGCAGCTTTTCACAAGTGGGGCACCCAGTTGCTGACCCCTGATTTCTGGAATGTAGGGGGTCAGAAGACCTTGGTGGCTCCCAGAGGAGGCCCCGTATAATCTATATAAAGAAAGATCACATTCACTATATTGATGAAATTTTGAGAAAAAAAGCCTCACTTTTTAATTGCCAAATAGCTCTTTATCACTCTTCAGATTTAATCCTATCAATAATGACGTATAAAATATGCAGTAGGTTTTGAAACAGATGGAAGTTTGACAGAAGGAGAAAAGGAGTGATTCAGGCAGCCAATTCTGGAAAGAGTTGGTAGGGAAGGAGAAGGCGCAAGAGAACTCGGTCACTAAACTCCACGATTCCCATGAAGTCCTGGTGTGGGGCCATTCAAAATAGTCATTTCATGATATTCTTTCAGTGGTCATGATCGAATTGGTGAATGCTACATGGATGCTCTAGTTGTAAAGTTTGTAAGGAAGCCTTTATTTTAAATATAACGGAAGTGTTGGGTTTCTGCATAAGGAATTTACTGGCTTATAGACATGAACATTTTCCTAAACTTTCTATTAGGAATTAAATAATTTCATTATTGTCATCCATTTTAATCCCATTGATTATTTTGTCTGAAAATAAGTGTTCAGATAAGTTGAGAGTGTGACGAGCGGTTAAATACATGGTTATAGAACTGTAGGAGTAGAAAGCTTAAAAATGAACTATCAGGGTTGGGGAGATGGCTTACCAGTGTGAACACCTGCCTGGCAAGCACAAGGTCCTGAGTTCAATTCCTGATATAGAAAAAAAAAAGAACTATCAATAATAGAGATGAACAAATGATATATATTCAAATAAAAAAATCCAAAAGATGCTTAGCTTAGTATCCCTTTGCATTCTGTTGAATTTTCAGACATTTTCTTTCTGTGGAATTTTCCCAAAGCATCAACACTTTGGGAATTAAGGAAACCACCTTCAAACCATGGATTTCTCAGTCATGATTTGTAGAGAAAATGTAACTATTTTAGGTCTCTTTTTTTGTTTGTTTTGTATATGAAAGGAGAGGCTAGGAAGATATTCTATTATTGCTTTGGTTTCAAATTTGTATGATCTTTGTTTATATACATTAAATTCAAAATGAGGAAGCTAAAATGTACATTGGAATATATGTCTATGTTTGGATATTCATATCTCTATGTTTACAAAGAATATAATAGAGCCATGATAATTTTAAGTTGTTGGATCATTTGAAACTTATTTTTAAATGCAATTATGCTATATTAAGTTACAATATGTTGGAAAAATATATCATTTGAAGGAAACTACAGTTAGTAATTTATTTACTACTTTATAGTGAATGAAAAATTAAGAAAATTTCCTGTTCATGATGCTCTTAATGTCATGGTATAGATGATATCATTGAAAAAGTATGGTGATCTAGCAAAATATCTAGAGATCATTCCAAGCTCATTAAAAAAACATTTAAGTCCTCGCGAAAACTCTTGGGCTTGTCTTTTTGACGGGCCTTATTTGTGCTGATGCTCAGATATGATGACATGAAGCAGTTTATTACTGAGTAATTTATTATAGAGTTTAAACATGACTAGAATAACACAGACATTCTATGCAATTTTAAAAAATCACATTATTATGGTCAATAGAATAACAGTATTAAGACCAAAGTATTTTTTCTGGACAAGAACTGTATATAATTCACACATTTATATGTACAGTTCACTTATTTGAAGCGTACAATTCAAGTATTTCAAATACTCCCGCAGAGCTGGGTAACTGTTACCACAATCAACTTTAGAACATTTTCATCACCCTACGAAAAAACTTCCTTTCCTGCCCCTGAACAGTTGCCCCCTTTCCCTCAACTTCTTTCTTAAGCTCAAGTCCAAATCAGCAGCCACTCACAAATTTCCTGACATATAGATTTGCTTCTTCTGGGTGTGCCATGCCAGTGGATTCATGGAGTAGGTGCTCCTTTGTGACCAACTTCCTTCGCTTAACATGTCTCTGAGGTTCACAATGTTGTAGCAAATGGCAATAGTTCATTTATGGATGAGATCAACGTAGATAGAGAATTTTTATCACAGTAAAAGGCATTGCTGTTAATGCTTCTTGGAAAACTTTCCTTTAGGTGGACATGGTGGTGCACACCTGTAATTCCAGCTCAAGAGGCTCAGACAGGAGTGACACCTGAAATTCAAGGCCAGCTGGGCTAGGTAGTGCATTCAAGGACATTCTGAACTACATAGCAAGACTCTGTCTCAAAAATCAAAACAAAAAAAACAAAAATCCAAAATATCCAGTACCTCCCCCTTTGCTTCGGATACACTGATCCCATTGTTGCTGCGATTCTGAAGCAATTCTGTCCTTCCTGAGTGTCTTTATGACCTCTGATCAAAAATACTGTGTGTACCGCTGCCCAGGAACATACAACATAAAAACAGGTTTGTTGAAAACACTGCGATCTTATTCACCTTATTCACCAGATGTGGCACCTTGCCATTTCTGGCCTTTCTTCAATGTCAAAATGATGATAAAAGATAAACGTTTTTAGCTGATTCAGGACACCCAGACAGCCATAACAGCACACCTAAAGGCAGTCATGAAAGAGGACTTCCAGAAGTGCTTCAGAGTGGCAAGAACAATGGGATGTGTACTGGAAATAAGGGGGAGATATTTTGTTTTGTTGTTTTTAAGGGGCATTAATGACAATGTGTCTTTTATTGGAATAAAATTTTTAAATTTTTTGTGTGCTGTTTTTGTTTGTTTTTGCTACCAGAAATCAAACTCAGGACACTTTGCTGGCCAGGCAGGTACTATGACACTAAGCTATGACCCTGATCCCTTAAAAATTTTGAATTTAAAAACTCACTGAACTTTTTATAACATTTCATATTTTTACTGCTAACTATATCCATTGTAGAATACACACAACTTGTTTATTCATCATTTGATAGACATTTGACTTATTTCTACTATTTACCTATTCATGAGTAACACTGGCATGCATCCTGTACACAAATTACTGTAGGGGGATACACTTCCATTCCTCTGGAGTACATACCTAGGGAGAGAATGGTAAAGTATTCAAGTAATCTTTTGAACTACCACATTGTCCAAGGTACTGGTACCATTTCGTATACTTGCCAGGAATGGAGAGTTCTGATTTCCTTATGTTCTTGCTAATGCTTGTTATTATCAGTGTTTTTGAAATTATAATCCCAATAACATGCAACATAAACTAGTGACATGTTACTGTAGTTTTGACTTGCACTGCCCCAATAACAAATATTCTCCAACATCTTTCCCTGTGTTTTATTATTCATTTATGTATCTTCTTTGAAGAAATAATCTTGTCTGTTCAGATGCTTTGCTCATCTCCTTTTTGTAGGACACTTTCAATAATTAATACACTGCATATTGTTGTCCTCATAGTAGTTATTCATAGTACAAAATGCAGACATGATATCCTGTCTACACACTATTAGTACAAATCTTTTTTCTCATTGAATTAAGAGGAAGTAGCTGTATATCTATCCTAACTATTTTGTATGTACAGATACAAAGTGGTCCTTCATTTGTATCTCCTATCTTTGTTTAGTTTTGTCAGAAATGGATATTCCATTGCCATTTAAATATTATAAGTGTATGGATTCAGTAAAATAATCCAATATACTCCAATAGTCCATAATAGTAGTGGGTTATCCATAGGACTGGCAATGTCAGAAGTTTTTGACCTGAGCCTTTCACAGCTCAGCATGTTAATATAGCTTTCCTTTTTTAAATCTCGTTTTTATACTTTTCTGCTGGATGGTTAAGATCAAGATAAAGCAAAACCTATACAGCAAGAAATGTAAGTTTTGTATCTCACAAGTTCAGTCAAATCTCTTCAGGATTTACCCTGAAACCGTGTACTGCAGTTTGTAGATCCTTTGTCAATGTCAGCCATGTGAATGAGTCAAGGCCATTGCTTAACCAATTTGCTCTCTCTTAAAAAAATTGTCATAGGACTGTCCTGTTACAATGCTTTATATGGTTAGATTTCTAAATTTCTGTGTAAAAATATATAATTGTTTATTTCTATTTTTAAAAATATTTTTCTTTTTTTGTTCACATTCTGTCGAGATTTAAAGTTCAACATATCAATGATGGGCAATACCTGTTCTGTGTTATGTCTAAGATGTTTGATATTCAGACAGATAGTAAGGTTAAGCTCAACTGCCTAAGTTATAGTGTAATAATATTATTAAGCTTCTTTTCTGGAGGGTTAACAACTTAAGCTTGCAGACCAAAAATTAGAGAAAAAGAAGGGCTTCAAGGACAGCCAATATTTTGGCCCTAGCCTTTCAAGGTCAGTGAGGACTCAGCACATAGGAGAACCCGTACTGTAACATCCTGTAACTCAACTGTGTCCCAAATTTACTGATCAAGGAGATTATGGGGCCACAGAGGAAAGTGATCGACAATGTA